AACAATTAGAGGGTCGGCACACAGGTGAAATTATAGCGAATCATTTAAACAATATTTTGCAAGATTGGGGCTTAAGCAATGAATCAGTTCATTGTATTTTACGCGACAAAGGATCTAATATGATAAAAGCTATGAGTACATCAACTGCAATTATGTGTTCGGTCAGCAATGGAAACCGAAGAATTTATCTCGCCAGTGGTTACAAAGTGCAAAAAAATTGCTACTCACTTCCATCACTCACTAATTGCTCAAAATGAATTAAAACAAATTCAAACAGAAAGACTGAACCAAACAGAATTATGTATCGTTCAGGATTGTTCTACAAGGTAAGATATTTTTATTTTAAACTAAAATAATTTTATATAAATGTTTTTTTTCTTCTGTACTTTGTTTAATTTCACATATGTTTTATTTTTTCACAGATGGAATTCGACTTATTATATGATGGAAAGAATACTATACCGATTCCTACTGCTGATGAATGGCTCGACTTGGAAAAGTGTATTGCAATATTAAAGCCATTCGAAGAAATTACAAAGGAGTTCAGTAGTGCAACTGCGACAATAGCTTCTGTGATTCCTTTAATCTATACTCTTAAAAACACATTAGAAACAGAAAAGATTAAAGAAGACACATCAGAAAACTTTAAATTAATGATTACAAAAATGGTCCATAATATCAGCGTCAGATTTCAGGACATTGAGAATAATAAAATATATACAATAGCTACTTATCTAGATCCACGCTACAAGCTCAAGTTTTTCACTGCAATTACTAAGGAACAAGTACAGACAGAGATTCTAGGAATCCTTGGGTGTTCAAGAACTTCTCATGATGAAGGTCCTTCATCACCGAAGAGATCACGGACTCAGCTGCCATCAACAAGTTCATACATTCAATCTTGTCTAGCTGAAATATTAAGCGCAAGTGACGAAGAAGAACAAAACATAGGTGGTGATGAGGATGATACAGTACACAATAAATTAATTGTCAAAAAAGCATTACTAAATGAATACAATAGAGAGAAAAGGTTGACACTCAGTGAAAATCCACTTTTATGGTGGAAAATGCATACCAAGTACAACAGTTTAAGTGCTTTAGTAAGACAGTACCTCTTGCCGCCGCCTGGCAGTGTACCGAGTGAACAACTTTTCAGTGCTGCTGGGTTAATTTATGATCCTTTAAGAAATAAACTTTCTGGTGATAAGGATACGTGATAAGGATAAGGATAAGTGATACTTTTTGTCAAGTATAATTTACCTTTGATAAATTTTGATTATTGAAAATGTTTAATGTTATTGTAAATTAATATAAGACAATGTATGATTAAGTTAAGAATAATAAAGGAAGATATGATTGTTATGTTTGCACAAATTATAAAAAAGAAAGCTATGATTGTGATGTTCAACTTAAATTATAGTTATAGTAAAGTAAATTTAATTCTGATTTTATTATTTTCTTTGAATACGAAATTACTGATTCAGTATAAGTAATAATTTTGTTATTACATTTTCATTTTAGGTGTTTTAGATAACACTCAATATAATTATTTATATTCATTTTTATTTTAAATAGCTGTAATAAATAATTACTCACAGACTGATTGAGATTCCTGCCAAAAAACTTATAAATAAAACCACTTTATTACCTATTTGTATTTTACTTTTGAAATTCTTTAAAAAATTAATATCCGTAACCGAAATTATCCGAAACTAACGGGTAATC